CAGGCGGGTCCCAACCCCGCGGGCTCAGGCAATCCACTCACCTCAGCCTCCCAAAGGTGCGGGATTACAGGCTGAGCCTCCGAGCCTGGCGATTTTTTTTTTTTTTGAATCGGAGCCTCACTCTGTGACCCAGGCTGGAGTGCAGTGGCACGCTCATGGTCACTGCAGCCTCGATCTGCTGTGCTCAGATCCTTCTACCTCAGCCTTCTAAGTAGCTGGAACTATAGGTGCATGCTACTACGCCCAGCTTATTTTTGGATTTATTGTAGAGATGAGGTCTTGCCAAGTTACCCAGGCTGGTCTCGAATCCCTGAGCTCAGGCAGTCCTCTCGCCTCAGCCTCCCAAAGTGCTGGGATTACGACTTGAGCCACCGTGCCCGGCCACAGCTTGGTGATTTTTAGTGTATCCATCACGGGCCATCAACACCACTATCTATTATAATTCCAGAATATTTCTACTTCCCCAGAAAGAAACCCCCTAATTCCAGGTCTTCCTCCTCCCAACCCCTGGCAACCACCAGTCAATGTCCTGTCTCTACGGATTTGCCGTATTTTAGACAGTTCATATAAGTGAAACCGCACAGTATGTGGCCTTCGGTGTCTAAATTCCTCCACTGGGCATAGGGTCTCCAAGATTCGTTCACATTGTAGCAGGAAGTAGGACTTCACTCCTTAAGGTTGAATAATACTGTGTTGCATGGATAGACCACATGTGTATCCGTTCACCAGCTGATGGACGTTTTTGTTTCCACCTTTTGACTATTGTAATGCTGCTGTGAACATTTATGTACAAGTTTTGGTGGGGACATAGGTTCTCAGTTCTGTTGGGTGTCTACCTAGGAGCGGCCTTACTGGATCACATGGTAACTCTGTGTTTAACTGTCTGAGGAACTGCTGGACTGCTTTGCACAGCGCTGGATAAGTTTACATTCCCACAGTGACGTGAGGGTTCCAAGTTCTCTATATCCCTGCCAACTCTTGTTATTTATTTATTCATTATTATTATTGTCTTATTATTAAATTAAAAATAATTTAAGTAAGGGTTCCACTATGTTGTGGCTGGAGTACAATGGCATGATCATGGTTCACTGTAGCCTCCAACTCCTGGGCTCAGGGTATCCTTCCAACTCAGCCTCCCGAATAACTGGGATTATAGGCGTGCACCACCACGCCCAACTAAATTTTTTTTTTTTTGAGTTGGAATCTCACTCTTGTCGCACAGGCTGGAGGGCAGTGGCACACTCACAGCCATCACAGCCTCGACCTGCTGGGTGCTGGCGATTCTTCCATCTCAGCCTTCAGACGCATGCCACCATGCCCGGCTAGTTTTTGTGGTTTATTATAGAGACGAGTCTCACCAAGTTGCCCAGGCTGGTCTTGAACCTCTGGGCTCAGGCAGTCCTCTCGCCTCGGCCTCCCAAAGTGCTGGGATTATAGGCTGAGCCACCTCACCTGGCCATAATTTAAAAAATTTTTGTAGTGTCAAGGTCTTACTATGTTGCCCAGGCTGAAACTAATTCACTTTTACTCCATTTTAGTGATCACCAGGGAGGTGGGCTGGGAGGCGAGGACCACACTGTGGACGCTGCCAGCTTGCTCGTCTCAGGAGTGCTCGGAGGAGAAGGGCTGAGCAGTGGCTGCCATGCACAACAGAGGCTCCCACCAGTGTCCTAGCTCCCATGACCTGCCCTGCCTCTGTTTCCCTATGTGATGCCCCTCTGTGTCCCCTAGATGACCTCGTGGAGAAGAGGCCGTGTGCGTGGAATTCCTCCCGTGTGTGCATATGTCGACCTGGCATGTTCTGTGGCGTGTCAGCCACCAACTCCTGTGCCCGCTGCTTCAAGCACTCCGTCTGCCCAGCAGGGATGATAGTCACGGTCCCAGGTCAGTGTCCCCACCCTCAGCCCGGGACCAGGATCCGTGCGGCCGCTGTACCCCCACCCTGGCGCACTCCTGGCTTCCGACCCCCTGCTTCCTGGAGCCTGTTGAACACATCAGATCTCCTTTCTCAACGGGCCAGGGATGCCTGGCACCCAGCGCCTCTGCTGCCCAACCCGTGCCTGTGTTCCAGGCAGAGACTCTGGCCTGCAGCCTAGTCCTGACTAGAGGAGGTCTAGGGTTGGTTTGGGGCTCATGACCGAAGTTCTCTGAAGCCTCACAACCAGGAAGGGAACCCCAGGTTTCTGTCCTGGGAGCTTCCTGAAATACTGGGGCTGGTTTTCCGTTTCAGATTTGGGGCACTGAAGTGCCAAGAGGTGCCAAGAGGTCAGGCTCTGGGCTCAAGGCTGAGAAACTTGGGTTTCTTTTCCAACTTTCTGTGTGACCTCAAGAAAGTACCTTACCTCTCACTTCTAGTTTTCTGACAGTACAAGGGTGTGGGGAGCTCATGGCTAGAGAGGGGTAAGGGCCACAAATTCTGTCTGGGTGGCCTGAGAATACCTTTCAGAAGGGAGGCACGAGGAATGCGTGGGCCTTGGACCATAGCTCATTTGGGCGTTATGGCTACAGAGCGCATGGGGAGGGGGAGAGACAGGATCAGAGGTAGCCTCAGCTCCCAGCACCAGCCCCCTTGCTTTCTGGGTCTGCCTTTCTTTCAGGTTCATGGATATGCGTGCTTCTGCCCACCGGGCCTTTGCCTGTGCTGTTCCCTCTTTCAGGGACACCCTTCCCTCCGCGTTCACTCACTCAAATCCCATTAGTCCTGAGCTCTTGGTCCAAATGCCACTTCCTCGAGGGGCCTTCTCTGACCTCACCAGGGAAGCTTGTAGCACCATGTCCTTTGCCAATGTGGGTGCACACACACCTGTCTCTGTTTTGGTTTGATCAGTGCCTGTCTCCTTCCCTCGACGGGAGCTTCATGAGAGCACAGGCAACCCCCTTGTACCTGACCTGGTGCCCGGCACGGTGTCTGCTCTCCACAGATACTCATTGAATGACAGGGAGATCCCAGTGGGTAGGTGGGATTCACACCTGGTCAGACTCCTCTCGGGTCATGGAAGAGCACTCTGCTGAGGAAGCAGCAGCCTCCCCACGCCAGGGGCAGAGGGGTTACCTGGAATCAGCGGATACCTGGGATCTTGCAAAGATTTACAGTTTTGGGAGCACATTCTCACCCGGTCTCTGGACCTCAGCCTCCCCATCTGTAAAATGAGGACGTGTAACTGAAGGCCTTGGGGACCTTTCCAGCTCAGAAATCCTTGCATCTCTGTGACAAACACCTTGAGTTTACAACCAGGCATAAGGCAGGCTTCCGGCGGGAGGAGCTGCCTGGGTGGTGTTCCTGAGACTGCCACATGGTGGCACCAGAGGCCTACCTTTGCTCTCCTGGACCCGTGCCGGCCAAAGAGGTGCTCCAGGTCACACATGTAGCCCTGGAGCACTTAAAATGTGGCTGATGGCCGGGCACAGTGGCTCACATGTGTAATGCCAGCACTTTGGGAGGCTGACGTGGGAGGATTGCTCGAGCCCAGGAGTTCAAGACCAGCCTGGGCAACGTAGTGAGATCTTGTCTCTACGATCAAAATTAGCCAGGTGTGATGGAGCACGCCTATAGTCCCAACTACTCGGGAGGCTGAGGCGGGAAGATTGCTTGAGCCAGGAGGTTGAGGCTGCGGTGAATCATAATTGCGCCACTGCACTCCAGCCTGGGTGACAGAGCAAGACCTTGTTTTTTTAAAAAAAGCAAATATCCTTTTTCTCTCTCTCTACTTTACTTTCTAAATAAATTATATTTTCCTAAAAAAAAAAAAGAAAAAGTCCAAGTCTGCAGTAAGTGCTGCAAGTGTATAACACGCACCAGATTTAAAAAACTTAGTATGAAAAAAGGGTGTAAAACATCCCATTAATTATTCTATCTTGATTACCTGAAGACATCATAATGTGTTAGGTTAAATAAGCATATTATTAAATTTTTTTTTCTTTTGAGTCAGAGTCTCACTGTCACCCAGGCTGGAATGCAGTGGCATGCTCACGGCCACTGCAGCCTCGACCTGCTGGGCTCAGGTGATCCATCCGCCTCAGCCTTCCAAATAGCTGGAACCACAGGCGTGCACCACCACACCCAGCTGATTTTTTGATTTATTGTAGAGATGAGGTCTCACCATGTTGCCCAGGCTGGTCTTGAACCCCTGGCTCGGGCAATCCTCTCACCTCAGCCTCCCAAAGTGCTGGGATTACAGGTGTGAGCCACCGAACCCAGCATTATTAAGATTAGTCTCTTTAAGAACAGCCTGGGCAACTTGGTGAGACTTCCACTCTACAATAAAAAAGAAAAAAAAATTAGCCTGGTGTGGTAGTGCATACCTGTAATTCTGGCTAGTTGGAAGGCTGAGGCGGAAGGATTGCCTGAGCCTAGTAGGTCAATGCTGGGGTGACCGTGACTGTGCCCTGTACTTTAACCTGGGCAACCGAGTAAGACTCCAACTCAAAAAAAAAAAATTAATCTTATGGCCGGGCATGGTGGTTTAATCCTGTAATTCCAGCAGTTTGGGAGGCCTAGGTGAGAGGATTGCCTAAGCTCAGGGATTCAAGACCAGCCTGGGCAACTTGGTGAGACCTCGTCTTTACAATAAATCAAAAAATAAGCTGGGTGTGATAGTGTGCACACCCAGCTACTTGTATTTCCAGCTACTTGGAAGACTGAGGTGGAAGGATCACCTGAGCCCAGCAGGTCGAGGCAGCAGTGGCTGGGAGCATACCACTGTATTCTAGCCTAGACAACGGAGTGAAACTCCAACTCAAAAAAAAAAAAATCTCACTTGTTTACCTTTTGTAATATGGTTTCTAGAACATTCAGATGCACAATTCACATCCTGTTTCTGCTGGATGACACTGCTTTACGACGGCTCCGATCTTGCCTGCCAAGCCGTGGCTCACTTTCGGGTTCCCCTGCGGGGTCCCCCACAGCCTGCTCTCAGGGCTTCAGTTTTCCCAGCTGTCAAATGGAAAGTTGTTACTGCTCCCGATTCAGCCTGCAGTTAAGCTCCACGCTAAGCGCCTTCACAGGCGACCTCCCTTGAAATCCTCAAATCCCTATAAGGTGAACTGTATTAACCCCATTTTCCAGGTGAGGAAGTTGAGGTCCAGAGTTGGTAGGTAAATTGTCCAAGAACATAGAACAGGGAATATCCAAGCTAGGATTTGAATGCCAAGCCCAGGTCTTGTCACTCTGCCGTGCAGCAGATACACAGGAGAGGTTAGTATCACCCATATCCGCCTCGGAACCCTCGGAGTGTAATCCCACACATACAGGTCACCTTCAAAGTGACAAGACAGGAGTCTCAATGGGGAAGAGAACATAGCATTTGCTGTACATCACATGGTGTGCCGGACACCTCACATTCTTCCGTTTATCCTGATGACAGCCTTGTGAAGCCTTGTCATCATCCTTTGCCTCACCTGGCAAAGCTGGGACTTGGAAGGCCAGCTCAGGGGCACTTGATGGAAAATGCCTGTGTTTTCCGGTCCACTATGCTTCCATCCAGGATACTTCAGGGCTCTTTGGGTTGCAAGTAACAAAATCCCAAAATTTGTAGCACATATAACTGAAAAGCCTGGGGATAGTTCTGAGTAGCTTCAGGTATAGCTGGGTCCAGGGACTCTGTCTTTCTCCATCTCCCATCTCAATTTCCTTCTGTGTTGGTTTGTCTGTAGGACACTTACCAGCAGCTTTAGGCTTCCTGCCCAATCCCACCAGAGAAACCGCTTCTCCTTCCTACGTTTTCAATACCCAAAACCAAACCTTGAAATTGCATCTGCTAGGCATGGCCAGGGTCATATGTCCATCTCTGAACTGGTCCCCCGTGGCCAGAGGGGTGGCATGGCTTGATTGGTCTAGCCTGGTCCCGTGACTCCACCCAGAAGGGGCTTCAGTCAGTCTGAGTCCCTAACCACAGACACTGAGACTTGGGGAGACTAATTCCCCAGGGGAAATTGGGCTGCTTTACTCCGGGGGGAGCGGGGAGCTGGTGCCCAGCCTCTGCAAACAAACCCCAGGTGTCTGCTGCATTTTCCAAGTGCCCGATCCTGATTCTGGCTTGTAGTAGTGAAGGTATATTCCTGGTGATCTTGGGCTCCTTGATGCCAATTCTGAAGGCACCCCATCCCCCTGCAGGCACCGCAGAGAGGAACACGGTCTGTGAGCTGCCTTCCCTGAGTACCAGCCCTGCCTGCACCAGCCCAGAGGACTGCAAGGAGCCCACCAGGTGACTCCCCTGCCCTTTCTTCACCTTTCCCCAGATGAGGCTGTCTCCCCCACAGGACACCCAGGGCACGGCTGGGCTGAGGGGCAGGTGGGGTCCGGCCTGCGGTGTTGGGGCTGCAGGGTGTCCTCTGCCAAGTGCACAGATCATCTGTTGTCCTTGGTACATCCAGTCCTGGAACAAAATCCAGAAGGCCTAGAAAACACAGCCCTTCTCCCAGGAGTGAACAACGGGTCTGCTGGACACTGGACAGAGAGTCTGGGGACCCCTTCTCTATAGAAACTTCTCCCTGAACACAGGCATCTCTTGCCCCACTGGGAGAAACATCATTCCCATCTCTGGCTTCTTCTCTAGTGCCACCACCCCTCTGGCCAAGCCCTCCCTGATGTCCCCCGAAGTCTCCAATGCCAGGACCACGCTGCTAAGAGGGGATGCCCCCCTCACTCAGGAAGATGCTTCTCAACTGATCAGGGCACCCAACTCTCCCTCCTCTGCGGAGAAACCGAGTTCAGGTCCAGGTAACTTCCCTGGGAAGCTGCACGGCGTCTCCCTGGGTATCCCACGGGTGGATGGCCTGTGTGTGGTGGTGGTCGGGCCAGGCGGGTGCGAGCTGAGGTCTTTTCCCAGTGGGGAGAGAAGAGTGTCTCAAGGTCTCATCTCCTGGGGTTGAAGGACTCGAGGGCCCAAGGTTGACCCAAAGTGGTGTAATTATTTCCCAGACACACTGAGAGCCTCCTGTGCACCAGGTACTGGGGTGGGGACTGGGCGCTGGGTCCCACCCTGCTGTCATGGGGCTCACAACGGGATGGCCCAGCCCTGCCCTGTTTGCTGGATGCCCTCCTGATTCCCATGGCTGGGGTCGGGCCTCAGCCTGTCCTTTCTGTTGCTGAGTAGCCCTCCGTGGCGTAGATATATCACACTCTCAACAGTTTTTGGATATTTGAGTTGTTACCACTTTGGGGCTATAAGGAATAAGGAAGATTAAGTCCAGGTGGGTGAATGTATGGTTCACTTCCCTTGGGTTGGTTATTTTTTTTTTTTTGAGTTGGGGTCTCACTCACCCAGGTTGAAGTGCAGTAGCATGATCACGACAATCATGGCTTACTATAGCCTTGACCTTCTGGGCTCAGGTAGTCCTTCCACTTCAGCCTCCCAAGTATCTGGGACTACAAGCCCATGCCACCACACCTGGCTAATTAAAAAAAAAAAATTTATAGTGATGAGGCCTAGCTATGTTGCCCAGGCTGGTCTCCAACTCCTAGGCTCAAGCAACTCTCCTGCTTTGGCCTCCCAGGGTTGACTTTTAAAACTGATTTGTGCCAGGCGCAGTGTCTCACGCCTATAATTCCAGCATTTTGGGAGGCCAAGGTGTGAGGATGGCCTGAACACATGGGTTCAAGACCAGTCTGGGCAACCTGGTGAGACCTTATCTCTATAATAAACCAAAAATTAGCTGGGCATGGTGGTGCGTGCCTGTAGTTCCAGCTACTTGGAAGGTTGAGGTGGAAGGATCGCCTGAGTTCAGCAGGTTGAGGCTGCGGTGACCATCAGCGTGCCACTGCACTCGAACCTGGGCAACAGAGTGAGAGTCCAACCTAAACCCCCCCCCAAAAGTGATTTGTAGGGCTTCCTAGAATTCTGGGTTTGAGCCTTCAGTCCTGTCATTGGTTCAGAACATCTCCTGCCTTGTGGTTTGCCTTCTCTTCCCTTCATGGTGCCTTTCGATGGAGGGATGTTTTTCCTTTCAGTGTGGTCAAATTGATGAACCTTTCCTTTATGGTGCTTTTTATGTTCTGCTTTGAAAGTCTTTCTCCAGAGAATCCTCAAAAACACCCTACACTCATTTTCTAGGATGATTATTGCTTTTCCTTCATGTTTAGATCTGCTGTGCACCTTGACTTTAATGCATGGTGAGGCAGTGGGCATATTTCAAATTGTCCAAGTGTACCTCCAGCTGAATCACGTCGTGTATCAGATACAGTGTCCTTTCACCACGTTCTACCTGCCATCTTTTTTGGTTTTTTGTAGAGATGGAGTCTTACTATGTAAATCAAGGGTCCATATGTGTGTGTCTACAATTCTGGACTCTATACTGTCTTCCGTTGGTCTTATCTATTCTGTGTGAATACCACATTGTCTTTAATTACTGTTGTTCTTTTAACAAATCTTGATAGAACTCAAGCAACTCGTGCAACCCTATTCTTGGACAGTATATTCAATATTCTTGGTAATTTGCATTTCTATATACATTTTAGAATTGACTTTTTGAATTCCACAAACTGTCCTATTGGGATTTTTTTCTTTTCTTTTTTTTTTTGAAGTGAAGTCTCATTCTGTTACCCAGGCTCAAGTGCAGAAGCATGATCACAACTCACCTCGAACTTCTGGGCTTAAGAAATCCTCCTGCCACAGCCTCCCGAGTAGCTGAGACTGCAGACACACACCCGAATAATTTTTTTGATTTTTCTGTAGAGACGAAGTTTTGCTATGTTGCCCAGGCTGGTCTTGAATCCCCTGGGCTCAAGCAACCCTCCTGCCTCCCATCTCCCAAAGAGCCGGGGTTACAGGCATGAGCCAATGTGCCTGAACTCTTGGGATTTTGGCAGGGATTGCAATGCATCTATAGGTCAATTTGGGAGAATCTACGCTTTACCATATTGAGTCTTCCTATGCATATACATAGGTTAGCTCTGTGTTTATTTGGGCCTTCTTTAAATTCTCTCAATGTTTTGTGATGTTTAGCTGTTGAATATTTCTGATGATGATGTAAGTCATGTCTTTTTCAACATTTCCTGTTCTGACTATTGTTGGTATTATTTTGAACGATGTGAAATTGCCAATTTTTGACCTACAAAAACAAGAATCTCATGTGGTCCAACCTAATACATAAAAATCTAGCCAGGCGGGGTGGCTCACGCCTATAATCCCAGCACTTTGAGAGGCAGAGGTGAGAGGATTGCCTGAGCCCACAAGTTCGAGACCAGCCTGAGCAACATGGCGAGACCTCGTCTGTACAATAAATCAAAAAATTAGCTGTGCATGGTGGCATGCGTCTGTGGTTCCAGCTACTTAGAAGGTTGAGGCAGAAGGATCACCTGAACCCAGCAGGTGGAGGCTGCAGTGACTGTGAGTGTGCCACTGTACTCCAGCCTGGGCGACGGAGTGAGTCTCTGACTCAAAAAAATAAAAATAAAAATAAAAATCCAGTTGACTGTGGATGTAGTGACATTATATCCAACTACCTTGCTGAACTCACTGATCGACCCAGTAAGACATCCATGGATTCTTTGGAGTCTCTGTGAACTCTGTGATCCCATCTGTGATATCCTCCTTTTTCTTTCTTTTTTTTTTTTTTGTTGAGTTGGAGTCTCACTCTGTCGCCCAGACTGGAGTACAATGGCCGCTCCGGCGATCCTTCTGCCTCAGCCTTCCAAGTAGCTGGAATTACAGGCACGTGCTACCATGCCTGGCTGATTTTTTGATTTATTGTAGAGATGAGGTCTCGCTGTAGGCAAGTCTCGAACCCGCGGGCTCAGGCAATCCACTCACCTCAGCCTCCCAAAGGCGCGGGATTACAGGCTGAGCCACCGAGCCCGGCTTATATCCTCCTTTTTCAAACTTATTGCTTTTATTTCTCTTTCTTGCCTTACTGCATTGGCTAGCATCCCCCATACCACACTGAGTAGAAGCTACGACAGTGGACATCCTTGCCTGTGACTGAGCTCACAGGGAAGCTGCTGTCAAATATTTGAATGGGGAAGTGACACAGCCAGGAGGCTGGGGAGAGAGAGGGCTCTGGCACGGTGGCCTCGGTGGGGCGGCTGGAGGCAGGGGCCAGTTAGGGGGCAGTGCCCCCTCTGAGCCTCAGAACTCCCTGCAGGAGCCAGGGCTGACCTGATGTGCAGGGAGCTTGGGAACTGGCCATGGCAGTGGGGGGACTTCAGGGATGCGGGAGACCAAGGCCTTTGCCAGGCTGGCCTGCTTGGAGCTTCTCTGCTTCTTTTTCCAGAGCAGCCCTGCCCACAGGGGTCGACGAGCTGCAGGAAGCAGTGTGATCCCGACTACTACCTGGACGGGGCCGGCCGCTGCACAGCCTGCGTGACCTGTTCACGAGGTAGGGTCTTGTCCTCCCTCCTAGGGTTCCTTCCAGGGAGTGTGGGGGTCTTGGAAGAGAGGCTGAGCGTCTGTGGGGGGGGGTGCGGGGGCTGTCTTTGGTTTTGGCTGTTCATCCCCCAGGAGCCTAGGTTTTCCTCTGGGTTTCTGAACAGTCAACTTCCAGTGACTCCCCCTCACACTTGTGGGCTTTGATGGTGGTCACCCCATTCCTGAGAGCTTCCGTTCGCTTATTCTTTCATTCAAGGAAACATTTAAAAATCATCTACCTGTTCCAAGCTCATCTCATTAATTTTTGTAATTACCCTATGATGCAGGGATTGCCATTGTCCCCATTTTGCAGGTGAGGAAACTGAGGCTGTGGGAAGAAGTCAGGGAACTTCCAAAGGCCACAGGTTAGAGTTTGGAGCCAGGCAAGTCTGCTGTCAGGTTCTAGGCTCTTGCCACCTACTAGTTGTTCCTACAAGTTGCTTCGGACAAGCTCTCAGTGAGTGACTGCTGCATACATAGCAGGATTAGGACATGGGGCTTTCCCTGGGGCCAGCCTGATGCAGCCTCCCAGGGCTACCAGCATCTGTGACATCCTGAGGGCCACACAGGGTAGGGAGAGCTGCCCAGTCCTCAGGCACCATGGCTGTTAGAGGCCCCAGCGGCTGGTGGAGGCCACTGAGAAGATGTGATTCTGTTTCCTTAGCTGGGATTTATTTTAGGCAGCAATGAGGACTAGAGTCAGGGAGGCCAGATAGGAAGGAGCACTCAGTTTGTCATCATTGGAGGCGTCTATCCCCGTTACTAAGGCCGTATAGCAAATTTCCCCAAGACTCAGTGGTGAAAACAAGACGCTCTTTGTACTCATGGATTCTGTGGGTCAGAATTCAGACAGAGCACTGCAGGGACAGCTCGCCTCTGTGCCACAGTGTCTGGGGCCGATGCTGGGAGGCCCAGAGGCTGGAGGCTGGAGTCCTCTGAAGACTTATCCATGTGCATGTCTGAGGGCTGGTGCTGGCTCCTGGCTGGGCCCCAGCTTCTCTCCATGTTGGCCTGTGCTTGGCTCACCTGGGGCTTCCTCACAGTCGGGCAGCTGCGTCCCAAAGGCAATGTCTTGAGAGAGAGAGAGACAGCAGCCATATCTCCTTCTACAATCTAATCTCAGAAGCCACGACTTTCCATCCATCGAGGCAGCCATGAGTCTCACTCAAGATGGAGAGGAGGTCAAGAGTCGCACCTCTTGGTAGATAAGTGTCAGGCTGTGAAAAAGCAGATAGACCAGAAGTATCACTGTAGCCAGTTTTGGGGAAATACCCTCTGCCAGCACCACCGTGACAGAAGGAGACACAGAAGTGGCAAGGATTTCTTCAGCTCTCCCAATGGGAGCCCTGCGGGCAGGGGAACTGAGCCCCGTGGCTGGGACTGGGACTCTGGAGCCTTAGTGTCTGGTGCAGATCTTGGCTCTCCCACTTGATAGCTTATAAACTCAAGCAAGTTTCTTAACCTCTCTGTGCCTCAGTGTACTCACCTGCAAAATGATCATAACAGTGAGTGGCATCTCTCTCGGAGAGTAGTTGTGAGAATTAAATAGGACATTGTAGGCTGGTCAGGGTAGAAGGATGACAATACTGTCTCACACACATTCAGTTATCTTAAGAGTTACGATCATCATAGCTGTCATTGTCCCAAATCATCTTATTCCAGCCGACATCCTCTGCACAAATTCCTCCAACCCTGCCTAGCTCCCTCTCTCTGGTGGTTTGGAGAAGGGACAGCTGGGTCAGCCTAATCATGCTAGGTCTCTAAGTATCCTGCTGAGTGAGAAATGTTTACTTTTTATTTATTTTTATTTTTTATTTTTTTATTTTTTTTGAGTTGGAGTCTCACTCTGTCACCCAGACTGGAGTGCAGTGGCCGCTCCCGGCCACCGCAGCCTCGACCTGCTGGGCTCTGGCGATCCTTCTGCCTCAGCCTTCCAAGTAGCTGGCACTATAGGCGCGTGCTACTGCGCCCGGCTAATTTTGGATTTATTGTAGAGATGAGGTCTCGCCAAGTTGCCCAGGTGGGTGGTCTCGAACCCGTAGGCTCAGGCAATCCACTCACCTCAGCCTCCCAAAGGCACTTTTTATTTTTTAACGCAATGGGATTCAGCTGTGTTGCCCAGGCTGGTCTCCAGTTCCTGGCCTCAAGTGATCCTCCTGCCTCTGCCTCCCAAAGTGCCGGAATTATAGGTGTGAGCCACCGCACCTAACCATGAAATGTTCTTTTTGAGTAAGTCATATTTGCCTCATCTACTGATGGAGGAATCCCATTTCACCTGTAAAAAGAGCATGCGGAATATTCCCAAACATAGACAACTGCATCCTTGCACTTTTTCTTTTGTAAAACCTGTAACATTTGATTTTGTTTTTTGCTTTTGGGGGGAAAAGAACTTCTTATCATTGAACATTTCAAACATGTTCAGATGTAGAGAGACGGAGATGGAGAGGGCTGTCCCCCTGCATCAAACAATGATCAAGTTATGGCCAGTCCCAGCTCAGGCACAGTGCCTGTACCCTAGCCCCATGCCCTGAGGGATCCTCCTTCCCCCTCCCTGTCCCCTGGGGGTGTCCTCCTTCTCTTTCTCCCCATCCCCTGTGGGGTCCTCCTTTTCCCCCTCCTCGCCCCTTGGATGGTCCTCCTTCCCCCTCGTCCCATCCCCTGGGGTCCTCTTCCCTCTCCCCGTCCCCTGGGGCATTCCTTCTCCCCCTCTCATCCCCTGAGGGGTGCTCCTTCCCTCCTACTCCGTCCCCTGGGTGGTCTTCCTTCTCCTTCACCCCGTCCCCCGGGGAGTCCTCCTTTAGCAGCTTTGGAGGTGTGGCCGATAGGCGGCAAACTGCACACATTCAAAGTGTGTGATCTGCCAGGTTTTGACAAATGCACACAGTCGCGCAAGCAGCCATCCCCCAAAAGCTTCCTGGGGCTCCCCATCGTCCCACCCACCACCTCTCGCCCTGCCCTGCCTTCATTCCCCAGCCATCAGCTGCTCACAGTCACCATGAAGTTGTTTGCACTTTCCAGAATCTTCCGTAAACGGCATTACAGAATGTCTTCCTTTTCTTCCTTCTTTTCCTCAGCACAGTCAATCTGTTGGTCGCCCCCTGGGCTACTGCTTCTCTATCCTCCTGGGGACTCTCAGGACCCCCTGCCCTGGCATTCTGATCCTTCCCCGTGACCCCTCTCTGTGTCCCCTAGAGGACCTCGTGGAGAAGACGCCGTGCACGTGGAACTCCTCCGGCGTCTGCGAATGCCGACCCGGCATGTTCTGCGCCACGTCAGCCACCAACTCCTGTGCCCGCTGCGTCCCCCGCCCCATCTGCGCACCAGGGACACTCATCAAGGCCCAGCGTAAGTGGTCCTCACCCCCGACTGCAGGGTGGAGATCTGTGCCCCTGCTGCTGTGCCTTGCCCCTCCCCCAACTGTGCAAATGACCTTCAACCCTGGCGGGTAACCAGGTCAGGTTTGGTCTTGGATTCTTCTTTGAGTAGCTAGACTCAGTGAACGAAATAATAAAGTCCAGATCTGGCGTTTTAGTAAAAGGTTCTGATTATTACTATTTTTAATTTTAGGGTTCAGGTCTTGCTCTGTCACCCAGGCTGGAGTACAGTGGTGTGATCACTGCAGCCTCAAACTCGTGGGCTCAAGTGATCCTCCTGCCTCAGCCTCCTAAGTAGTTGGGACCACAGTTGCCACCACCAAACCCAGCTAATTTTTAAATTTTTTGTAGAGAGAGGGTCTCACAAGCCAGGCTCGGTGGTTCAACCTATAATCCCGCACTTTGGGAGGCTGAGGTGAGTGGATTGCCTGAGCCCGCGGGTTCAAGACCTGCCTGGGCAACTTGGTGAGCCCTCATCTCTA